GTTCTGTTTGTAAGGGCTTCGTGTGGTCAGGAGGTCTTGTGATGGGTCAGGTTGGATGTGTCAAATGAGGGTTTTGTCATGGATCTTGTGATGGGTCATCAGTGAGAGTCTTGTGATGGGCCTTGTGATAGGGAGGTTACATCAGGTGTGGGTCATTGGGAGGTGAAGTTCTGGTTGGCGGGGGTGGTCTTGCATGGGTTGGTTGAGGCTTGGTGCTGTCTCTGGTTGGCTGTCTGGTTAGTTTGGATTCTGAGGCAGAGGGCGTATTCAGCAGGTTCTGACCAGTTCTGGAGAACCGGTAGTGGAAATTTTGAGTAGTTTGGAGAACCGGCAAATACCGCCTCTGACTGGAGTTTTAACAGTATCCTGCCCCTGCCATGTCCACCAAGCCACACCCACAGAACCAGTAGTAAAAAAAAATTGAATCCCACCACTGTAAATCTGAGGGGTTTGTGGGCTGGTTGTAGGTCAATGTGTCTGTTGGTGGAATTGCTTGCGGAGTGCCAGGCTTCAATGGACTCACAAGCATGGCGGGTGGTAACATGGCTGGTGATTTTTATGTTGCTCCAACTGAACTGGTGCTGTTTGGCGTCAATAGAGATATTTGCCACTATTGCCTACTTACTAGGTGTCACTGCCCCTAGTTATTTCAGGGTGGGTTCGGGAGCTCCTTTTCTCCTGTTCTTGATGGAAAAAGCAACACACCTCTGCATCTGTGCCTTTCATGACCTTTTCCTCCTAGCCTAGGAATTCACTACAACCCGGAGGAGATTCCTTTAGAATTTATTGATAGAATGACATGGTTGTGCTACCGCCAACAAAAATGAAGAGCTGGCATTTTCTCAATGCGTTTCAATAGCAAAAGGCAATCAGGCCCTGGCAAGTCAAACATTTTTCACTGAGATGGCGCTTTTGTGCATGGATTAACTCCGTGGAATTGATTCGAATTTGCTTACAACCAAACTATAAATGAGTGCCAGTGGCCTTTTATGAGTGAGGGCTATTAATTTGTAGAAACTTCCCCTGAGGAATGAACAGCAAGTTGGAAACACATAAGTGGTTGTAATGGAGGCGGTGAAATAGACCGAACTCTGGGTTTGTGTAGCAGGAGGACAATATCCTCTCTAAAAGTTCAGGAGCCCTAAGGACATGCTTTAGGGTTTGTGGCACGTCAAGCCCTATTCTAAAAGATAGCATAATCTTTTCTTCTGAAATAAATTGACATTTTAAAAAGTTCACATTGAAGCTTCACCCACTTATATACGAAAACATATTGCATTTGTGTTATTTGAGGTTGCTCACTGATTGGCATCCCAACAAATCAAACTCTCTTTAAATCTAAGACACTTAGGCTCCTGCTATTCTACTTTGGTTAACCTGTCAGGCTCAGGATCAGTGGATTGTATGGCTTGCAGGATTGTTATTCCTATTGGTATAGACCTAAAGGTGTCAAGGCCAGAGGGAAAATATTTTTTTTTTTTAGGAAACTCACAATTTGTGGATAGAATAATAAAATAACAAAGTTGGAAGGAACCTGGAGGTCTCTTAGTCAAACTTCCTGCTCAGGCAAGAGACCCTATACCATTTCAAACAAATTGTTCAATCTCTTCTCAAAAATTTCCAGTGATGGAGCACCCACAACTTGGGAAGGCAAGCTGCTCTGTTATGAAATTTATCCTTAGTCCTAGGCTGCTTCTCTCCTTGAACAGTTTCCGTTAGTTGCTCCTTGTCTTGCTTTCAGGTGCTTTGGAGATTAGGTTGACACACACACACACCCCTCTTCTTTGTGACAACCCCTCAAAACTATTTGCCTAAAACTAGCCTTCTCCTCTTGTAATCTCCTCCATACTCTTCTCCATAGCGCTATGGATTCTGCAGAGTAGATCAGCTGAGATGAGTTAACAGTAGGTCTTTTAGGGGCTTAGGTAACAAAATTCCTCATTTCGAGTTTCAATTTCCCTCTGAAAGCTTCTATCCATTAATTCTTTTCCTACTCATAGGAATTTTGGATATGCAATTCACATCCTCCTGTTTGTAAAAGTCCTTCAAATACTAAAACAAAAATGTTTTCTTGCCTCCCCTCAGCCTTCTCTTCTTGAGGCTAAACATATCTAGTTTTTTAACTGTTCTTCATAGAATTTCACCCACAAGGCCTTCCACCTTCTTTGTTGCTCTTGTCTTCAGAATTTTAGAATTGGAGTATGGATAGTTTGCATAGTTTAGGGTTGATAAACTCACCCATGGATGGTGGACGGAGGGATAATCTTCCAATAGAAGACAAATGTTCCGATCAGGGACAGGTGAATTAATATGGCACTCATTTGGGCAAGCCTCCTCCTCAGAATGGAATAGCTATTTATTTTAACATAGATTGACATCCCTTTCTGGTTTAATATATATGGTGGCTACCATACTAAAGTTCAAACATGGATTACAATGCAGAAATAATATGGTGGCACAGCGGTTAGAGTGCAGTACTGCAGGCTAACTCATTGCTCAGTCAAGGAGTTTGATTTTGAGTGGCTCAAGGTTGACTCAGCCTTTCATCCTTCCAGGGGGGGAAATGAGGACCCAGATTGTTGGAGGCAATATGCTGATTCTATAAACCGCTTAGAGAGAGCTGTGAAGCAGCATATAAGTCTAAATGCTATTGCTATTATGCTTAGGTTTGCAGTTGCCTTAAGGGCCAGTGACTGCAGTTCCAGCATTTTCCTGCCTTCCCCAAGGGAAAAAGAGACTGTTAAGCTTAGCTCAACTTGAGTTGTTTTCCAAGTAACAACATGGGAGTGAATTTTCTCACTTCCTCATTTACATAAGAGTTCTGAGATTTCCAAGTGGTCTCCAATCCAAGAATTAACTTGATCTGACCTGCTTAATTGTTGAAGATCTGATGGGTGCTACCACATAACTACTGCACTCCAGAGGAATGTGACACAAAGAGGACCAATTTCCATTGTGGGAAGCCACTCCCCCAGAAGAAAAATATTTTGAGGAATATTTTAAAAGGTGGAATATTGTATTTCCCAAAGGGAGAAATGGAGAAACATGTTTTTAGAGGCAGAAAGTACCCCCCACTTTCCTTAATAGCCCACAGCAGATATCAGCACTTAAGAGATAAAGAACTTATTGAGAACTAGATATCTCTATTCATAGGCAAAGCAAATATTACAGGCAGAAATCCATTCAAGACAAGATATTTTGAAATTCTCTGCAGCAAAGTCTGAACAAAGGTAGAGTGATGGGATTAACACTCATCCAAGAGCCAAAACAGGACAAAAGCCATTAAGCCACAATAGGAATTACCCAAGACCCTTTCAGAACACAAGCCTTCATTGCATCACCCTCAGAGCAGTCCAAACTTCAACCATACTTAGCTCAGACAAGCACCTAGGATTTTCATTTCCTCTTTTGCCTATGGAGCCAGCTATGACCCCTATATAACCCCTACATGACCCCGTAGGAATCTGACAACAGCCAATAGAATACATGTTCTTGCACAGGAACAGGAAGCTCAAGTGCAAAGCTTAAAGAAGCTATTTTTTTTAAAAAAGTCTCTCAACTCCATTTTGTCAGCTGCACCAGAATCATGTGCTTGGTGGTTCTGTTCATCATTAAACCTTTTTTCCAATCATCCTCCATGTTTCCAGTGTTTTTCTCCCAGTTTGGAACTGAACCAGATGGGTATTTCTTCCCACACCACCATGAAATAGGACAATGGCAGAATGAGATTAAGTTGGTGGATTTGTACCTGCCCCCTCCTTCCTCTCCACCTCTCTCACTTCCTCCCATGCCTTCCTCTGGCTTTTATTAGTATAAGAAACCAGGGCTCATGAGTCTTACAGGAACAGCTTTCCTTTGAAAAGCAAAACCTTTGAAAATAGTTTCTTTCAAACAGCAGAACCAATTTCCTTTTTCCATAAGTGGTTTACTACCCAAGCAGACTTATATTTAGGTTGTACTGTAGTTCTGTGCTGAGCGCACACACAGGGACACAGAGAGGGATTTTTTTAAAATAACAACAACAACCCAGAGCTTAATCTTCTTTATAGGAACCTCCAGGAGCTGCAATGCATTTTGAACAGCCAAAACCCTGAGCTGGAGCTCAGTGTTTAAATGCCTTGATTCATCTCTATTTATTTTGTTAAGCCACGAGCAAGCAGAAAATCTAGCAGTCAAATTGATGTGCTTGAAAGAGTCTTGGCAAGCCATCCATCAGCCAGATATTGATTAAGACCATTGCCGCAGCCATTTTGCACAGTAAGCCTTTATATTTTAGCCAGAGAAATCCTCGTGTAGATGTAAATTGACCTGTAAATGCCTTTTGTTTGCCACAGGGAGGGGTAAGTCAAAAGTGAGCTTTAATCCAAAGGAAGAAGACAAGACAGCAGACTTCAGACAAAGCATGAACCTAATAGTTAGGAAACACTCTCTAGAGGTGTTGAATTCCCATCCTCCCCTGTTGCCTTGACCACGGTGTTTTGTGAGGTTGGCAAAAGCAAACCTATAGTTATTTCCTGTGGATCTTTGTCTTTGCTGGGAGGGTCTTGTGACGAGAGCAGAAATAGCCATTTATTGCTTTCAGCTTCAACTGCTACTCTCACTATGTCTTGCCAGATTAACTCCCAACCATCTGACACATTGCCCCCCTAGTTAAATGAGGTGTGGAGAACTTGTGGCTTTTCCTGTGATGCTAAACTACATTCTCACCTCTGATTGGGTGCTTTGGGTTGATGGAGGTTGTAGTTTAGCAGGACCTAACAAGTCACAGTCTCCCACACCACCAATTTCCTCAAGCAGAGTCTTTGACCACATACAAAATTGTATTCAGGTTGCTTTCTCCCATTTATATGGGGAAGCCTTCCTATACAGTTTCTCTACTACAACTACCTACTATTACCTACTGTATACCTACTATATATACCTACTCAAACCATTACAACCAGGAGGGAAAGTTTGACCCTTGGATGTCACTGTACTAAAACATTCTCTACTTTTTGCAGGCTGTGGGTCTGAATGTTACCAGAATTTAGCCAATGTAGCAACCCCGAGTGGAAAAGAAGGAAAGCTGAAGCTTTGGAAAATTTCCTGAAGGACACTTAATTATAATTCCTACTTTGATTTCTCTGTAAAGTTTCGGAATGCTTCTGGATGACTACAGTGACAATTCCCTGATCCGCTGTCCAGATGATTGTCCTTAATGTTTTGCCAACATTTTTTTAAACAAATCCCAAGCAATTAAATTCACAGCAGATATGCAGGTCTTTATAATGCTAGAGAATGTGCTCAGAGTTGGTAGCCTGGCAGATGAAGGAGAAGGAGAGGGATGTCTGGCTAGAGAGGATGCCCAAGGATATCTCTGATTGTATGGAAATGGAAAAGACTTTGGTGTCAAATGTCACGTAGAGAACTCTCCTCTATATAGCATTCCCATTGTGCAGTGGGGTTTTTGAACCAGGCTCTGTTCATTTGCCAAAACTTTCCTCCCTTGCAATTCCCTTTGTGACACATTACAGAGTGGCATCTGCAGAAAGCTGCTGGCACCAAGATGATGACACACAGGCAGTGACCTCATCACACAAACACTGCCTTTATACCCTTGGCCCAATTGTGTGTGGTCATCACACATTTGTCTTCATTTGCCTCTTCTGTGGATGCTCATAATTGCTATGCCTTTGCTACATTCTGGTTGCACTATTTTTAGGTGGAATAAAGGGAATGACAAATTAGTTGAATGCTATTTTTTTTTAAAAAAAAGCAAGAGACTTTCTTTCCTTCAGTCTAACTGGTGATACTGGGCTACTGATGATGCTCTATTTTGCTGAGTTAACCAGCATGTGGGCTCTTTCCAAAGGCTGCAGCTCTCATCCTTTCCAAGAAGTTTGATCCAATATAACTGGGAAATACTATGTTGGGGAAGTTGATTTGAGAAGGACATTTGTGCATCATGCCAACAGCAACAAATTAGCACATTTGTTCTCAAAAGTTAACCAAAGTTGGCTCAGTTCAGCAATTGGAATTGGAAGCATCTAGGAATTCCAAGGTTGTTGAGTAAATTGGAAAGTTGAAAATAAAATACTCCAGAAGAAAACAATGACAAATCACTCCCCTAACACTAGCCAAGAAAATTGCAAGTCTATGTCCATGAGGTCGCTACAGGTTGGATTAGGTTCAAGTGTAGCCTTGACCTTGGGCATTTTGCAGGAAATTAGTCCATATTTACAAATCATGGGACATGCCACCAGCAGACAGCTCGACAAGAAACAGAATACATTCATAATCTCTAGCTAGCATCTTCCCTTGCTGAGAAGGGTCAATCCAAGGCCAATCCAATTCCAATATTAGGTATACTGACATATTTTTATTCTTTTTTTTAAACTTCTGAGCTCCAGACTGGAATGCCTTTAGCAATCTGGAAAAGGATCAAGAGCAGCCTTCCAACTCAGTTGTTTTGCTTTCCATCTTCACCTTCTCCCCATCTTGTCATTATCCCAGATCCCCATCACCACTACAGAAGCCATTAGATTCTGATTTAATCCATGATCTCATCTATCTATTATCGCTTGAATTATATTTACTTGCCCAGTAAAACTTGAGACTTCAGCCAGTGCATCAAAGAGCAACCAAGGAAATTTCTGGTTGCCATTTCAATTTAGCCAGGACTTTGCACATGATTAGGCTATTCCCAAGGCTACTCTTCATCAGATGCAAGCAATTATAATAAAGGTGAATATTTAAACTTAATGCCTAAGTATACAGTATTAAGGCGTACAGTCCTTATCTACCTGTTGCCTGAAAAAAAACCACTGCAAAATGTTAGGCAAAAATGCTGCAGCCTTATATAAAGATTAATATTGAGAACCAGTTCAATCTAATGGTTAAGGTACCAGACTAGAAACTAGGAGATTGTGACTTTTAGTCCTGCCTTAGGCATGAAAGCCAGCTGGGTGACTTTGAGCCAGTCGCTGCCTCTCAGCTACCCTTCTCACAAGGTAGTTTTTGTGGAGAAAATAGGAAAAGGAAGGATATTAGGCATGCTCACATATATATATAAATAATAATAAAGATGAGATTTTAAAAAAGCTTTAAAAGTTTCTGCAAGGGAATCCTACATTGTCTTACAAATAAATAAATGGCCACCACCCCACTCCCAGGACAGAAGTGTGACTCATCCACAAATATTTTTTTAATTGTGATTTCTTTCAAAATATTAAAGAAAAAGATGCTTGCGCCATTGATATGAAATTTCCTGAGTGGGTTGCTCAGCCATTTGTCCTTTAGCATCTTTCCACCTGGATACATGTTCCTCTGGACTGAAAGCACTTGAATTAAATTGCCATGGGAAAAACCGTGAAGCCAAATATGTCTCCCTTCTTTTGTTCTTCCTCATTGGAAGAATTGTTTCAAGAGTCCCTTTGTTTCAAGTGTCTTCTGCCAGTTGAAGGGCCAAGAGTAAATCCCTCTGCACCATAGAGAAATCAAGGAAAGTGTCAGACCAGGGGTGTCCAACCTTGGCAACTTTAAGACTTGTAAACTTCAACTCTCAGACATACTCAGCCAGGGGCATTCTGGGAATTGAAGTCTGCAAGTTTTATAGTTACCGAAGTGGGATACCCTTGAGTCAGAACAAGAAACACAGAGCTAAAAATGCTCTCTTTCTCTTCCTCAGAGAGTAGCTGGGCATAGGACAATAGACTTGTCTTGGTTCTATTATTGTGCAGAATTGAACTGTCCCATCTTACTGACTAAAGGCAAACTGGGCCTACTTTACTCATTTTTTAGGTTCTGTGCTTTTCAGTGAGAATTGAAGCTGTAGAAGAAAGAGTTAAGCATTCCTTTCCCCCATAAACTACAATCTCCAGAATCCTCTTCTCCTATGGGTCAGATGGGCTTATTATAATAGTAGTAAGAGAAGGTCAGAATGGGACAATTTGGGGCAGTCAATTTGCTATAGCCAACTCACCACAGCCAACCCCATTGTGGGACAACTCACTGGGGGGCAATTCAACAATTCAAATATTTAAAATAATCAGAATATTTATTTTTTGTCATTCTCATTTCATTTTGTCCCTCCTTTTGCATCTTTTCTTTAATGATTCTATTCCACCCCTTCTTTGATATCAGTGTAACTCTTGTCCTGCAGCGAGTTGGCTGTGGCGAGTTGTCTTACAGCAAGTTTGCCACAACAAATTGACTGTGGTAAGTTGGCTGTGGCAAGTTGGCCATGGCAAGTTGTCCTAGACCCAAGGAAAATATTATTTAAGTTTAGCTGATGTAGGAGGAAAAAAATTATGGGGACACAGATGCAGAAGAAAGAGTATCCCCCACCCCGCTTTCTATGAAGGCAATCGTATTTTGTAATATATTTCTCCCTATGGCCATTTCAAAAGCACTGCCAGGAATACTCTTGGAAAGCTTAGCTTGAATTGTTCAAGGGAAATGGCAGCGAGAAGGGAGGGTTAATTAACTGTTCCTCCCTGCATGCTGCAGCACCCTAAAATATCCTCCCTGCTAAACACACACTTGTAAATAAAATAAAATCTTCCAGCTGGAACCCTATATAGAATGGTTCTCTTAAAATATGGGAATAGGGGGAGGGGGGTTGGGGTTATATTTCAAGGCACCTAACTTTGGTTATATTGTTCTTTTTTAAAAAATAAAAGTTGCTGTTTCTCAAAGTTAAAGGCTGATCGGAAAGGCTGCATTGTGGAATGTGTCTGTGTGGTCTCTCGGTTCAAGCACTGTTCTTCCCAAAGGAAAGCATTGTACACTCAAAGAGAAAGTGCAAGGTTTTTGTGTAGGGTTTTTTTTAATAGTGGTGGTAGGGTTTTTTGGATAATAAAAAGTGACAGCCCTATTCTTCTCATTCCAAGCTGTGGAACAATGCCACCGCACACACATACTTAGGGGGACATAATAGCCGGCACTAGCTTCAGGGCCTCCAAAATGCTGCAGAAACACTGATGAAATTTAAAAAAAGAAAAGAAAAGCAGGCCAGGATTCCTGTGGTTCTTTAAAGCTTGATTAACCCAAGTCGCCTTGCATGTACAATTTCTGGAAGCAAGCTCTTGAACTGTGCAAGTGTTGAATATTGTAATTATGGGAGTACATAATGTGGTACACATTATGACGCTCACTTAGCACTTATCTAACACATTTAAGGCTTTATATACAGGGCCTTAGTCATGCTTAAATGGTCGCACCGAAAGAAGGTCCAATATTATTATTATCACATATATAGTTGCAACTTAAATTCCAATTTATAAACTGGTTCCAGAAAATCCTATGGACAATCTGGAGTGCAAAGTTAATCCCATGTCCCTCGAGTTTTTTTTTTTTAAATCTATATACACTATGCCAGTTTTGTGCGTATTTATGACATATGGATAATAAGTTAAGACTTTTGTGGTTAATGCCTAACAAATAATGTAGTTCTTTCATAAGGTGGCAGGCCTCTCTCAGTGTAACTTGCTTGTTGTTATCTGATTTAAAGGTTGTCTGCCACATAAAGACAACTATGATAGCTTACTAATCCATATATTAGTCATTGGCTGGAAAAAATGTTTGCATAATTCTTGCAAATTGCATCAGGGAACCCACGTAGGATCATAGCAAGTTTAATTTTGAATGTATAATGAAGTCTCTATTAAAGCCTTTCCTTTGCCTATTTCCATACCAGTGTTAAATGTATACGCCTCTGTTTCTCTCCCTCCCTCAGCTATCAGTTTTAGTCCAACAACCCCCCCCCAAAAAGCACAGTAAAGTTCAGGCTGATGAATTTTGCAGACATCAGATTGGACAGATGGGTATTGCAGTCCCCAGTCCCCATTAAGTTCCAGTTCATTTCATTTCTGGCAGCTAAAAGATGGAGCAGAAATGACACATTGTAAACCATTTTTTTCCTTTGGTATATGATCTGCATTTTTAAGCAATACCGCTATAAAATCTTACAAAAATAAAACGGATGCCTTTGAGAAGATGGGCTAAAAGAGACCTCTGTCAAAACCTCTGGCATCAACAGAACAAGTTTTCTGTACAATATTGTTTTCTGTCTAGTCACAGCATTGCACATCCCTCTTCTTTCTCCCTCCCTACTTCTTCCTGAGAGGAGATTATCACTGAAGGAAAAGCATTGCTGGTAATAGAACATAGACTAATAGAATTGGAAGCGACCTTGGAGGT